TGCGCTCTTCCGGCACGGCCAGGGCTTCCTCATGCCCGCGCAGTAGGGTTGCCAACTGTCTAATCGCACAAACCCAAAATCCCTGCCCCTGCCCCCTGCCCCCTGCCCCGCCCCTTCCATGAGGCCACACCCCTGTACTGCCCCTTCTCGGAGGCCCCGCCCCAGCTCACTCCATTCCCCCTCCCTCCATCGCTCGCTCTCCCCCACCCTCACTCACTTTCACGAGGCTGGGGCGGGGGCTGGGGAGCAGGAGGGGTGTGGGGTACAGGCTCTGGGAGGGAGTTTGGATGCAGGAAGGGGTGTGGGCTCTGAGATGGAATTTGGGTGTGTGGTGTGGGCTCTGGGAGGGAGTTTGGGTGTGTGAGGGAGTGTGGGGTGCAGGCTCTGGGAGGGAGTTTGGGTGTGTGAGGGAGTGTGGGGTGCAGGCTCTGGGAGGGAGTTTGGGTGTGTGAGGGAGTGTGGGGTGCAGGCTCTGGGAGGGAGTTTGGGTGTGGGCGCTGGGCTGGGGCAGGAGGCTGGGGTGCAGGAGGGGGTCAACAAGTTGGCGCTTACCTCGGGCAGCTCCCAAAAGCTACCAGAACATCTCTCTGGCAGCAGCTCCTAGGCAGGGGAGTCCAGGGGTCTCCGCACATCTCTGCCCGCAGGCACCGCCCCTGCAGCTCCCATTGGCCACAACTCCCAGCCAATGGGAGCTGCACAGTCAGCGCTTGGGGCGGGGGCAGTGCGCAGAGACCATCTCCCCAGGGGCCACAGGGACATGCCAGCCACTTCTGGGAGCAGCATGGGGTGAGGGCAGGCAGGAAGTCTGCCTTAGCCCCGCTGTGCTGCCGGCGGTGGCTGGGGGTCCCCAGGCCCTTTTAAATCACCCGGGTCCCTGGGCAATTGCCTCATTTGCCCAGCCCTGTCAGCGGTCCTAGTGTAGTTCTCAAACTACAGCTGAAATAACTAAGGCCCAGATCCATGAAGGGACTTATGCATCGTGTCGCAGCACCTAACTTTTAGGTGCCTAGAAAAATCACAGGAACAACACTGTGATCCACAAAGCCGAGTGAGGCACTTCAGCTTCTATACAACGAATGGAGAGAGGTAGGCTCCTGAGCTTGCGATTTGCAAAGTCAGGGAGCTGCCTAAGCTAGCCAATAACCAGAGGTCTATGTGCTTGTGCTAAGCCATGCCCTTCTCACAGGGGGAGGCACGTAAGTCATTCTAACTCTTTAAGTAGCTCTTTCAGCTGCATAATCACTGATTCAATTATTTAATTAAAGTGAAACAAAGTCAAAAGGAGAGACTGAGGGAGCCTCACGTCAGAATATTCCAGACCCTAGTGGTTAAGGCACTCACCTGAGAGATGGCAGATCCTTTTTCAAATGCCTTCTTCCCCTCAAGTGGAGGGGGACTTGAACTGGGGCAGGTCGCTCACATCCCAGGTGACTACCCTAACCACTGGGATAAAACTTATAGCAGGTGTGGTTGTCATCCTCTCCCCACCTGTTTTGGGTGAACTCACCTGAGAGCAATAATTCCTGAGCCAATATTTACCTAAGACAGTGAAAGAACTCCCACTGACTCCAGTGTGCATCAGATTGGATTCAAAAAACAAAAAAGTGAAATCATCATCCCAGTCAGTCCATATCATTGTTCTACACAGTTGTTTTCTATAGTGTAGTTAATTGGTGGGGGGAGGGGAGAATGTTTGTGCTGTGGGGCAACAATTGGCACAATGAGCTGTTTGGATCAGGTAATCAGTGGTTTTCAATTGGTATTAAACAAGATAGTGTTAAAATAAATCGATATTAAACAGGCAGGTACTGAATTGGTGCAAAATGGTTTGGTGAATGGAAAACAGTGTGGTTGTCTCTTGGGCAAATTGATATTAAGTGGGCTAGACTGTATTTAGGAAATGGGAAATCTTAGCCATAGTACTCATGTCTAAATCTTTTCCCACCGATACACATACACAACCTCACTGGCTTTCCTGGAAGGTGCATGCATGTTTCTGAAAGGAGCATTTTTCCTTACGTTATTATTTTTAAAAAGAGCAAACAGCAGTATACTTTTTCTAAGCTCTAATCTCTGTGATGGACTTCTCCAGGGTGCCAGGTATAAGGCAATAAAAACAGATTAGGCAGCTTCAAAAACATTACCGGTGCTCAACCTCCAAAATCTTCACCTGAGTTGCCCTCATTTCAGAGATTCTACATCGCGACACTTTATTCAAAAACTCATGACTTTCTGGAACAATGTTCAGTCGCTTATGTAATGTAATTACTAGAACATGTGTGTCACTACTACCCCCTTATGGGTCAAAGCTGCTCGTGTGCGTGAGAGAGCGTGAGAGAGACTGTCTCCCTTGAGCAAATGAGTGGCCCATAGAGCATATACCCCTTCTACAATTACTACCATAAGCTATCAGACATTCTCCATTAGCTCAGGTAGCAGAGTTGTTTGGTTTTGGAGCAGAAGGTCATGATGAGTGCTGTTCCACAGGTTGCACATCTGCATGAGATAGCTGATGTCTGTGTTGTAAGCAGTAGATGAATTTTTTAAACGTACCACTATTTAGCTGCTGGGGACGGAGACAGCAGCAGCCAGTGAATCCATGACAAGAATGAACTGCCTGTCATTTTATCCTGGAAACCGTGGCATCAGTAGGAATGTCCCCTCCCCATCCCACTCTACACAAGCAGTTTCCATTTCTGCACTGAGTACAAAATAACTCCTGGATGAAGATGGGAGAGGGGGAATAGCCAGTAGCTTGCAGGGTTATTGCATTTTCATTGATACATCAGCCCTGGAAAGAAAGGAAATTAAAACTTTTTTAAAATCCTCAGCCATGACCCTCTAAACTGGCAGGTCATGACCCGCAGTTTGGGAAAAGCTGCACTTTCTCCTCCTCTTCCTCCCCAGCACATACACATGCCATGAAAATGTTGCCCTATTGACCACGTATAAAAATGTCCCTTAAAGAATGCATAGAAAAATAGCATCTAGGTAAATGAAGTCAATAAGACAGAGCAGGGAGTGAGGGGGGGCTTTTAATAATCTCGGCTTCTCATATAGATGAATACTGAAAAGCCCCAAATGGTCTAATGATAAACTTTAACTAGGAGGACTAGATTAGTTTTAACTAGAGATTAGACTTGTTGAATGTAGGAGCCTACTGGACGGACTATACTGCCCCCTGTTTAATTGGTCCTCTCGTGGAGAATTGCGCTTCTTTCTTCTCTGGAACTTAAGTCTTTTTAATTCTCTTTGGATTTATCCTTGCACTTTTCGTCCCTCTCTTTGTCTTTAGACGTAACGCTTTTCCTTCTCCTTTTCTTCATTTGTTTGACTTTCTTTCCCTAGCTTTCCACATTCCCTAAGGTTCCCCCTATGAGGCTAATTCACAATTAAGGTTTTTTTTAGCTGGATTGATCATCCTCTTCTACATTATCAGCTATCTCAGTGCTATTTCTACAGCTTTCATTACACTCTGGGGCTCAGAGTGTAATGAGCCCTGAGCCTAAGGAAAGGAAGTTCCTTCTTCCTGCCTTCCACAAAAGCAGTCTGAAAGATCTCCAGTTGAACTTTTTTAAAACCAGAATGGGACCAGAAACTTTGCTGGGAAACTCCAGTTTGGATCCAGCCCATAAGCTAACTTTTCTTTCATTAAAGTTTCATGCTTTTCAGAGTGGTCAGATTTCTCACGTTTGCTCCTGAACCCACCGTTGAGCTTATGGTTATTCTCTTAAATGAGCTGCTCTGACCTGGGAGATTGTGAGAAAGGAGGCAGCCCTATAGCCTCAGCACTGCCACACTCAGAAACTGGCCGTTCCGTAAGCACGTCTAGTGCGGAGATCCATCTCGCTGGCTTCTTTCCCCATTCTCTTTCTGTATCACCTTCACCTTCTTTGCAGAGCTGCAAAACGTTACAACTTTATTTGATGTTAATATCATCTAAAAGTCTCACTGTGACCACCTCCTCTGTCCTAATGGGCTAATCCTCACATTTAACAGCCTTATTCAAATCTTTTGGATCTATATAAAATTATGGGGTCTTATAACAGTGGCCATAGTCTTTGCCCACTCACTCTGAATTCACTCAATAATGTTTCATTTTACTATCCAATAGAGTTCAGCTTTTAATTTGTCTCTTGTTGCTAATGGGACAGCGTTCTAATTTTTCACGGTTCACTTGAATCTGTACCACTGTTCTCTCTTCCTGCTTTGGGGATGCCTTTCTTTCCCTGCTTGCTCTCACTTTTATTTGGGAAGCACAATTTTTGCTAGCCCTGCAAATACCCAATTTTTCTGTGCAAGGTCAAGTCCACACAGTGTGCAGTCCAGTGTCATAGAATCATAGAATATCAGGGTTGGAAGGGACCTCAGGAGGTCATCTAGTCCAACCCCCTAACCAATCCCCAATTTTTGCCCCAGATCCCTAAATGGCCCCCTCAAGGATTGAACTCACAACCCTGGGTTTAGCAGGTGAATGTTCAAACCACTGAGCTATCCCTCCCTCCTGCCCCAGTGTCAGTGCACTACTGCACACGTTCCAGCAGAGACTATGTGTGGGTGCAAGTAAAGATAAGCCCTAGATTTGATCCTTTGCACTAAGTGGTATTAAATCTCAATATCCCTGCTTGCTCACTCATGGTAGGTATGTCTGAAGAGACGGGGGTTAAAGTGTGAGTGCTGATGGGGCATTTAGCTTAGTGTTCCCCTTTGAGCCTCCCACCACTAGGCAAGACTATGCCCAAGGCTCATTCAGCTGCACTCTCCTTCATGCAGGGTCAGGTTCCTTTGCCCTCCCTGTCCCACTCAGCACTTTTGTTAGAGGACAGGACAGAAAGGCAAAGAAATATATGTGGGATAAGGCAAGAGATTCCTATGCTTCCTCTTTCCTTAGAGTCGACCCTCCCTATCCAGCATCTGTCATCTAGTAGGTTTGATCTTCCCATAAAGGGTCCCTCCCACCTTGAATAACGAGGAGTTAGTCGTGATAAGGTGAAAAACAAATGGAGTGTATTGAGGGATTGGTGTATAATGAATGGACCAAAGAAAAGGAGGGGGTAAACAGTAAAATTATGCAATACATAATTTTCCCAAAATAAACCCTATATACAGGTAAGTAAACCCCTTAACAGAAACCTCCTTCTATAGATCAAGTGTCGATTGTTGCCTGGGACCTCAATCCTCCGGCTAGTTGAAAGCCATTAGAGAGGAGCTCCAGGGAGTCCCTTGATGTTCCTCTGGGTCTGTAGAAGAGTAGATGGTACATTGGGGGACAGCAGCTGAAGGTGGATGATGGTAAGTGGAATGTGGCTGTCTGTCCTTCTCTTCTCCTTGCAGGTGATGACAAAGTAGAAGCAGAGATGTGGAAGGAAAACCCTAGCCCCCCTCTACTGATAGGATGGGTAGGTGAGTGCAAGTCTGACCCTTACTGTCATGGACAGCAGCTGAGTAGTGCTCGGGGCAGACTTATATAATCTGGCCCGGGAAACCCCGTAGGAGGAGGAGAAGACCCCTTCTGGGAAAAGGCGGTAAAAACCAGTTCTATTCAGAAGTTGTTTACCACTTCTGAGGAGAAATAAAAGGCGGGGAAACTGTGATCAGCTGGATCACATGGGCACAAACTCCATTTTGATCATCAATATGGGATCCTGAAATTATACAAAACATACAAAATGGACATAACCCAACACTTTTTACTTTATGCCTGCAATGCTCCATGTCAGTGCATTAAGCTTGAAGAGAACATGCATCAGCCATTATGCAGCTCCCCACAGCATACTTGCCAGATCTTTCTCATGAAAGGGTCTGAGCCAAAACCTATGGAAGGCAGTGGGAGTATTTCCATAGGCTTTAAAGGGCTCTGTATCAGGCCCAAAACAAGGGACAACATAAGAGAAGAATCAAGGAACAAAGCAAAGGAGCAAAATAAGGGAATTTGTCTGAAGCAGCCTGGAGGGAGACAGACTCGCACAGAGAAGGCACGTAAGGCCCAGAGCTGCAGCGCTTGCAGAGACAACGTTTTTCTGGATGGATTTCATTGCCAAATGATCTGCACTCACTGCGACTCTCAGTCTCAGCAGTACATTTGAACGTGGAGGTAAAGACAGCATGTAGGCAGTGCTTTATTTTGTTTAATATATTTTATTATCCTAACTATTGTCCTTGTTATTCCTTTTATTATCCTTATTATTTTAAAGCAGTGGAAAATATGCCTGTGGAAGATGTTTGGAAAAGCAAAGGAGAAATAAACTCAAAAACCACATTCAATTTTTCACTCCCTTTCTTCTTGTAAATGTACCTAACAACGATGACAATTTGACAAAATATTTTCTAGCCTAACACCAATAAATGGGTAATGGCAAGAGAGTCTCCACAATTTTCCAGTACCTAAGGCCTATTACCCAATAATTTGTAAATAGATTTTAGCTTGAAATAAATCCCGTTGTCAATGCAAATTGTCCATGACTCTTTCCATTTCTCATATGTCTCTTAGCATAGCATAGCTGTATTTACTAGTCTGTCCAAGTTAGACCACAGTGTTTTCTACACCATTAACATTGGTTACAATGAATACAAATGTATTGTCTCCTCCTACAGATCCTTGTATCATCTCTGTAGGATACGTTTGAATGAAGTGTCTAGCAGGGTCCTACCAGAGTCCTGTTTAGTTGAACACTTTCAGAAGTTATCTGGAAGCAGAAATGAAAAAAGAGTAACAATTATATTCACAGTTGATACCAAGCTGGGGAGGGGCGGGGGAGCAGAGGAGGTAAAGGGAAAAAGGAAGCTCAAAGTGAAAATGCAAATAAATTTAGAGGGTTTTGAGAATTGGACTGGAATTAACCAAATGGGATTCAATACAGGAAAATTTTACATTTATATTTGTGGGAAAACCAAAGCACAGAATATAATGGGAAAGTAAGATGCTTAAAAAACAATAATGCCAAGAAAGGTAGGTATGGCAGTAGATAGCACAACAAATAGGATTTTACACAATCTGATATGGTAGCCAAATAACCTTGGATTTTTCTATATAGAAAGATCAAAATATCATGGACCAGCGAGTTAATCATTCCGACTTTATACAGAATGGTGTGACCACATTTGAAACAGTTCATACGGTTGTGGACAGGGACATCCCCGTAGAAGAAAAGTATGGACAGCAAAGATGATTGAGAGCCTGAAGGAAACGATCAGGGATTAAAGGCTAAAAGGATGAACTGTATGTGTTGTTTAGCTAGAAGAATGAAGTGAACATAATTAATATGTCATGAATCATTCTTACCACATGCAGTGCTTTACATGTTCAAAGTAATGTGTGAAAATTAAGATTTGGTGTAACCAACCAGCTCCAAAGATCTGAAGGGCCCAAGCATTAAAGGAAGGAATATGATTAAGGGAACCTAAAAATAATAATGAGACAACGTAATGAAATGGAAGAATGAAAATTGAGGCTGGACATAAAAAAATCACTGCATTAATCATTTGGATTAATAAAAAATGAAACATTCTTCCAAGACCCTGGTGGAATCATAGAGCCCACATTTACCTAATCAGAGAGAGAGGGGCTGAAGTGAAAGGCATGTATACATACTTACACACTCTGTGACTTTTTCTTCGGTATATTAAATGACTCCTTTGGCATTAGGATTGCAGCTGATGTATATGGGTCGCTGATTAGCCTACCCCTTCAGAGTGTTCACCGACAAATAACTATCAAGACACACAGTTGTTTTTACAATGTGATTTGGCAAATTACTCTCAAAAGCCACTTCATCCTTATCACACTCTAACGGGGCATATTTAGTATGCAAGTTTAGACTAATGTTTTGAGAACAAAAGAGTTCATCTCAATCTTCACACAGAAGGCTCCATACATTATAAAAATGTATGGCAGGTAAAAATAGAGGGCCTGAGTTTCCTCTTGTGACACAGAAGCCCACTGGTGCCAGCTTGCAAAGGGTTCACTACTACTCTGTGTCAGCAACTCCTGAGAGGCCTTGACAAACTCACTACACCCAACACATTGCTGTCATAGTATTTATCCATAAATAGTGTCTTGTAAGGTATTGAATGTAAGCCAGTGACACACTGGTCATCATAAACATTGCAAGATGTGTGTAAGGAGTTATGTGTACCTACTAAAAATATGTTTTAAACTATGTCACCAGGCAGAGTTGACAAACAGGTTTTTCTGCCAAACAAAGCATGTCTAGTCACCTATACCTGTCTCTGATTTAAATTAAGCCATGGAAGCAGAGGCGCCGGCTTCCTCTGGGCCCTGGGGGTTCTCAATCCCCCACTCTGCCCCCTGCTGACCCCTTCCAACAAGTCCCCACTGCTGCCCCGCCTCTTCCTGCCCAGTTCCACCCCTCCCACAAGTGCATCATGTCCTCGCTCATCCCCCTCCTTCCCAGTGCCTCCTGCATGCCGCAGAACAGCTGATCATGAAGGGTGGGAGGCACTGGGAGGGAAGGAGAGGAGTTGATTGGCAGGGCCGCTGGCAGATGGGAGATGTTGAGGGGGTTGGAGGAAGCTGGTTGCCAGTGAGTGCTGAGCATCCTCTAATTTTTTTCCGTGGGTACTCCAGACCTGGAGCACCCTGGAGTCAGCGCCTATGCTTGGAAGCCAAACACAATGGGACCTACATTTGCATTGCACATGAAAACAGTGATGTCAACATGGGAAGACTAAACCACAGAGGGATGTCCTGTCTGGGGTGCAAAGACAGTGAACTTTGGGGTATAAGAGGAAAGCAAGAGGACCCCATTTTATCCTGCACTTAAAGAGTAACTGGTCAGTGCAATTAAATTTATGAAAACGGGATCTCAACCAGGGTTTGATTGAAAGCACTGTAAAGAGCACCTAAGTAGAATAGACTTCTTTAGAGAAGGGCTTTTGCCTGTTAAAGTTAAGTTTAGACTGTAAGAAGCACGTTTTACCTTTTGTTGTGTCACCTGTTCTTTTTACCCTTGCTCACTAGCTCTTAAATCTTAACCTTTCTTAATAAACATATTTGTTTTCAACATAATGAGATTACAGTGCTGTGTTGTTATATTAGAGCTTATATTCAGTTGAATCAAACAAGCATGTGCGTGTATTGTCTCTTTAAGGACAGCTTACCCAATAATTTCTGTGAATGCCCAGTGCTGTAGGGGAACTTGAGGACTGGGGTGCACCTAGTGTTAACCTGCAAGGCAAACTCAGGGCTGGCATAAGCTTGAGTGGCTGAAGGGCTGGTAGCATCAGGCAGAGGTGGTGCTAGCCCACTGCAGGCCTTAAGCAGGAATATGTATACACACAGAGTGAATAGGGGGCCTCCTTGACCTGGTCAGGGCCCTAAACAACTGCTTAGTCTGCTTATGCCTACCGCCCACCCAGCTATCACAACAAAGACTTCCTCTCACTGCAAGCGGGTGTATAATATGGTGACTCACAGTCCTGGGCACCCAGAGAAAGTGTCACACCCCTCACTCCATAGTAAATTAGGAGTAATTCCAGCTACATCAACAGAGTTACAGCAGCCTAAAACCAGTGTAAATAAGCGGCAAATCAGGCCCAGAATTGTGTCTGCCTTAAGTAGTTATTCTACAGCTGCCTGCAGATCACTGGCTTATGGACTCACGTACTGAGCATGTAATAAAATGTTCATGCCTTGTTTCAATTGCCAACGTGAAAATATAAAGCTTGACATATCAAATTTCTTCTCTGCATGTAAATCTTCAGAGCAGATGCACATTGGTCTGTGTTGATGCCAGATAGTAGGCCTGGATGTAACATTAGTACTTGCTTTTTAATAGACAAAGATTAAGTGAAAAGGAGATAACATTTAAATGCTATAGTAATCACTGCAGTGACAGCCTACTGCAGTTAAATTGTGTTTCCTGGTGTTGGAAAAAGAACTAGATATTTGAATGAGAGGCATAGCCGAAAAAGGCCTATATTTGAAAGCCATGCTGTGGATGGTTAACATCATGTCACAGTCATTGAAGTTACGGATCAGGTTGAAAGGATTTGATTTGGGGGTTTTTTTGTTATTGTTGGCAAGTGGATTGGTAAATAAGCACGTTTCAAAGGGCCGCGTCCTGCATTGTCGACTCAGGCCGAAGTGCTTAAGTGACTAAGGAGCACAATTCCCAATTAGAACTGGTGCTCCTAAGTCACTTGGGCACAATTGAAAGTCCTATGGGCTTCAAGGGGAGGTGGAGCAAAAGGATCAGGTCCTACATTTTTCACCACAGAAGAGGCACACACAATCTCTCTTTAGCTGAAGGCCAAATTCCTATAGAACTCACACTTTTAAAACTTTATTCATCTCTCTTTAAAACCACCTGTTCCAAGTGTAACTTTAGCACCCTTGTGGCCAAGATGGAGTCTACTCTGCAGGCTGCCCTGGCCAAGAGAAGGCACGCGCAGGAATGCAGCCAGGCAAGTCCCTTCCACCCCAGGAGCACCTGTTCTAAACCCCCCAGTGTGAACACACACACACACAGGAAAAGTACAATTAATATAGGAAAGGGAAATTTTTATTTACAGAGGAATGAGAGGAGAAAAATGAACAGGAGAAAATATAGGGGGAAATGGCAAAACAGGGTTGTATTCAACACAAGACCTCACCAGCCCAATGGTACCACAGTCTGAAAGGGCAGACACTGAGCAAAGTGTCTGCACACAGAGTACAGGAGCCCTAGAGGCAAAGTTCCAGTCCAGTGCTGAGTCTTGGGTGCTCCTTGTTGTCTTCAGCACGAGTAAACTTTCCCCAACAAACTCTCCGGTGCCCTCTTCTGCTGCTCTCTGCAAAGCCACACAGAGTGATCACCTCCCCAGTTAACTAGGTACAGCCTCCCTCCTTGTTTCCAATGCAAAGTCACCAGTCCCAGGACTCACAGCTCCATGCAGCTCTGGGCAGCAGTGATACTGGTTCCAGCTCCCATTTGTCCTTCTCAGGCGATTGCTCTCTGGCCCGGTGTTCCTCCTGGCTCCTGTCCTGGGGTGTCCCCAGTTGGCCACTCTGTCCCTCCAAGACTTCAGGAAGGTTCTTGGCTCCTTCACTCTGTGAGGGCCTGCTTGCTGCAGCCCTTCTGTCTTGAGCTCCAGGCACACACCCTGTTGCTCTTCCCTCTGTCTCTGCCCTCTTCCCCCAACAGCTAGGGTTGCCAAGCATCTTGTTTTTGACCAGAACACGCAGTTGAAAAGGGACCATGGCACCTCCGGTCAGCACTACTGACCAGGCCATTAAAAGTCCAGTCGGTGGTACAGCGGGGCTAAGGCAGGCTCCCAGAAGTGGCTGTTATGTCTCTGTGGCCCCTAGGTGCACACTGTCCCCATCCCCAGCACCGACTCCGCAGCTCCCATTGGCCGGGAACCACAGCCAATGGGAGGTGTGGGGGTGGCACCTGCTGGTGCATAGCACACACCACACAGAGCCACCTGGCCATGCCTCCGCCTAGGGGCCAGATATGCTGTCTGCTTCCAGGAGCAGCGCAGAGCCAGGGCAGGGAGCCTGCCTTAGCCTCACTACGCCACTGACCAGGAGCGGCCTGAGGTAAGCACTGCCCCATTGGAGCCTGAACCCCCTTCTGCACCCCAACCCCCTACCCCACCCCTAAGCCCCCTCCCTCACCCAAACTCCCTCCCAGAGCCCTCACCCTACACCTTGGGCGCCAACTGCTCCTGGCACCAGTGGGCGCTTGCATCCCCGGTACTGCCCCGACTCCACCCCGCCGCACCCCCATTCCAACCCTTTCCCCAAAGTCCCCACCCTGACTCCGCCCCCTTCCTGCCCCTATTGGACTCCTTCCCCAAATTCCCCCCTCTGCCCTGCCTTGTCCCCACCTCCTCCCCTGAGCATGCCATGTTCCCACTCCTCCCCCTCCCTCCCACAGCTTGTTATGCCACAAAACAGCTGTTTTGTGGCAGCAAGCACTGGGAGGAGAAGCAGGGAAGGCATGCTCAGGGGAGGAGGCAGAGGTGAGTTGGGGCAATTTTTCCCTGTGGGTGCTCTGGGGCTGGAGCACCCACAGAGTTGGTGCTTATGCCCTACACCCCCTCCTGTACTCCCCCTACCCCAGCCCTGAGTCCCCTCCTGCATCCCAAGCCCCTCATCCCTAGCCCCACCCCAGAGCCTACACCCAACCCCCTGCCCCATCCCAGAGCCCCCTCCTGCACCCTTAACCCCTCATTTCTGGCCCCACCCCAGAGCCTGCACTCCCAGCTGGAGCCCTCACCCCCTCCTGCACTCCAACCCCCTGCCCCATCCCAATGAATGTAGTGAGGGTGGGGGAGAAGGAGCAACTGAGAGAGGGGGGCTGGAGTGGCCTCAGAGAAGAGGCAGGGCAGAGGTGGGGTAAGGGAGTTTAGTTTTGCACAGTTAGAAAGTTGGCAACCCTACCAACAGCACTCCCCCCCCGGAAAAAGATTTAAAGGGGCCATGCTCTCTAAACCCCAGAGGGGTTACACAAAGCTTTAGGGACTGATGGAGAAACTGAAGGTGTATATTTTCATCACACCACTGACTTCAGTGGGGCGATGATACCCCACCAGCTGAGGACCCGCCCTGTGACTCTCAAAGCACTAAAAGTCCAAAATAAGTTCATCAGCCTATGCTAAAAAATGCAGCCCATGAGCTAGAAATTAACCCACCCAATAGCAAACTCTGTCATCTTGCCACTCCAACCCAACACCTCCAGCAAACGCACAAGAAAATACATGAGCTTTGCAATGTGCCCTGAGGACACACAGTTTTGGACTCCCTCTCTCTAGTTATTTATAGGAGGTCACTAGAATCTGAGAAACTCACAAACATGAATGGACTTTATCCTCACATCATCCATGTGAGATAGGGAAGTAGTATCCCCATTTTACACATGGGGAACTGAGGCACAGACAGATCGTGCGACTTGCCTAAGGACATGCAGGAAGTCTGTTGCAGAGCGAGGTAGAGAATCCAGATCTGCTGATTCCCATCCTTCCTCTGGACTCTTTTGGACTTGGATGCATTTGGGGGCGGAGATTGTATTCAGAGTACAGCATGAATCAAGGAAGATGTCCTGTACCCAGACTGCTTTGTCACAACGGATGAGATGTGGTTCCTCAGGTAGTCAAATCCCAAACAATTCAGAGCATCAAAGTCAAAAATAAAACCTTATTGCCTGCCCAGAAAGAGAGGCAGGCCCATTGGGTGAGAACCTCAGCTGTGTAGATCAGCATAGCTCCATTGACCTCATTGAAGCTGTGCTGACTTACACTGGGTCAGGTCCTCCATTAGCGTGTTTAAAAGAATAATTTACAATGGTTATAAAGTTAGGGGGAGAAATCATTCCATTAGGCTTTAAAGCGTGAAGTTCAAATTACTTTTCTTTTTGTCCCAACGCAGATTTGATACATATTCAAACTGGCAGTCAGGTTAACTGTGGGTTAGAACATAACAAAAGATAGAGCAAACAGTGAATATGTTCAGCCATAAAATCCAGTCTCAAGGGTTTACTTCATTTTGGAAAAACATTGGGCTAGATCTTAAGCTCCGTTTAAGCCACCTTATACCTGCTACGTATCTGGCCCAGCAACATAGAGGATAGATGTTAGCTAAACTCATGCTGCCAGCCTACTTACTACATATTGCATCACCCCCTTTCTTCTCTGCCCCCAAGGAGGGCTGAGAAGAGAATAAAACTGTAGTCCAGAGGGAGCCTCAGAGGGCCACAAAATAATTTGGCCTGGCATTGAATTGTAATGCTAACATCACAGCATTGCATGAATACATGATGAAACTGTGGGCAACAAGACACAGACATCACAATGCCATGGCAGCCTGTTACAGTGGAGATTATTTTGCAGCTCTGTACCTTTTGTCTGAGATGTCCAACTCTGCCTGGAAGAGTATCAAGGATATTTAGAACCAGATCCTCAGCTGGTGTACATTGGCTCCACTCACTTCCATGGAGCTATGCGGATTTACAGCAGTTGAAGCTTTGGCCCAATATGTGCAATGCTCAAAGTCCAAAGCAGAACATTTTCCTTTTATTGGACACAAAAGAACAGTCTTGGGACATTTTGAAAGCTGCCCTGTGTGTTTGTTAGGAGTTAAATGATTCACAAGATTTTCTGTGGGAATGGCACACACACACTTTACATAGTGAGCCTCATCAAAAACCCAGACACAAAATAAGCTCTTTGGGATACACGAGGCTGAAGAAGAGACTTTTCTAAATCACTTCATTTTACTGGAAACTCGGCACAACTACTCCCACACTGTAATGCACTGCGTACGCCTCGGAACCAGCATTGTCTCAACTTGTGGTATTTTAATGAATGCTCTGGCCAAGCCAAAGACGCTTTAGACCCCTCACCTTTGTCAAGAGGAGTATCCTAGGTGAACTGAAGTACAGAGTGTGTCCTCAGCTGAAAACCAACTTGCAGGTAAGTTAAATGAGTTCCTATTAAAAAAGAGTCACTGCTCTTGTGCATTTCTTGGAGTATCACAGGCACAGATTGTTTTCTGGAGGGTGACAGAAAAGCCATACACAAAATCCTTTTCACTGTATGTATAGAAAAATAAGAAGGGACAAATAAATGGCTCTTTTATTTTGTATGGACTTTAAAAGCAGATTCTTGGGCTTGGGCTGCATGGAAAGGAAGATTTGAGAAAAAAATAATCCTGATTCATCTTCATTATTCAGTCACTCAGGCATCCTTGGAAAATTATTATGCCATTCGGAGCTGAATTCAGCAGAAAAATGTACATATAATAACTAAATAAAATCAAACTGCTCTCCTTTCTGCAGCCCTAAAAAGAGAGACAGCCAGACAAAAGCATGAAAAAATTGACTGTCTGGCCAAGAATGAAATTGCTGGCAAGTCTGGTTTCAACCCTGCTATTAGCTTTCCTGCAGCTGCTTCCACTACCTAAGCAGCATTGGGATAGTGCATTCTCTGAAATCCTTTTACTAACTGGGTTTCATATTTATTCAGATATTAGCCTGACTCATTAATATTTCATCCCAAACAATTTACAAGTTAATGATCTGTCAACTTGAAAACAAAGAGGAAAAGAGACTAGAAACGTTACTGCTTTTAGGGATGAAACCTGGCCTTCTTCTGTGGGCAGAGGGCTTGCCAGACACAGCGAATCTGGTGCAGATCTGCTGTGCAAAAAGGCACAGGAGTTAGGCAGGCTGCCTTGGGGTGAGGGGGTGCTGCCAGATGGTGCATCGTGCAGGCTCCCTGCCATGCTGGAAGGGTCTGGATATGCAGCAGAATGGAGGAAGAGGTTGGAAGTGAAACTGGTGAATATGCATCTATGTGGATTCCACCTATCTTTGGACCCATGCAGAAGCCACAGAACCTATAGCAGCAGAGTTATTATGGCAATTGTAGAACACGCTGTAGCCACTTTGGGGGGAGAAGGGGATACGGAGTGTAAAATGGCTCCTCCCTGTCCCAGGGAGATCATCAGTGACTGTCAGTGGCTTGAGCTGGGAGACGCCATGCTCCAAGATCTGGGCAGTAAGGTTGTATTCAGATGTTATGCAATGATAACTGGTTACATTTTGTTAGCCATCAGTCTTGCTTACCACGCTGGGATGTTGTGAGGCTTCATCCATTAATATTTGTAAAGCACTTTGAGACACTGAAACGGAAGGTGCAGTCTAGGGACAGAGAATAATTTATTATTTCATTAAAAAATAATGATCAATAATGTCACAAAAGAAACAAGCTTAAAATATCTGAAAAATCAGAGATCATCACCAACAATTGTGTGTGTAGGTGTGTGTGTTCTCTCTCTTTCATGTATTATTTAGCTTTCCCAACACGGTATGTTAGTTGATATCCTAAACAGACAGCTTGATCTGGCTGAGTCACACAGGTGAGGAGGAACAATGATCTGTGTGTTCCTCAGCTACAAATTATTCACTTTTCCCTGTTAATAAAAAGACGTTTTATATAATTGCATTCAGGCAGCCAATCCTGAGGGTGTGGCTATTATGAGATCATCACACCCCTGGGGAATCAGATCCACTTGGATGTGTGTCAGAGCTTCATAATACCTGAGGCAACCCACAGCATCTTAAAATAACTTAAACACACCTCATGTCATGCCTGGCTGTTTAATCAGCCCAGAAGTGTCAGTCATTTCCATTCACTGAAGAATCACCTCAATTGCTCTCATTCTGATCCTGTAGCAAGAATTTCACTTTTGAACTCAGAACTTCCCTTAACAGAAACCAGGGTTGTGTGCATAACTGCCTCCCCGCCCCCCCACAATTCCCATCCCCTTTTGGAAGATGTGCTGTTCCATGCAGCCTATCCCTCATCTGCAGCATCTGGTTGTTTAAAGGAGGCAGCATAACCTGGATATTCGAGTGGGAGACTTGGAGAGAGCAAAGCCAGGACCAGTCTCCCTTGAAATTAATGGGCTTTTTGCCATTGACTAAATGGGAACAGGATTTGACCTGAGTTCTATTCCCAGCTCTGCCTCAGGCAGAGGGACATTTAGGCTTAATATTTTCAAGTGTCTGCTTAATTGCAGGTGCCTCAGTTTTGGGTGCCCAACTGGAGAGACTTTGGACCCGTTATTATTTATTATAGGTATAACCGTAACACTGAGGGGCCTGAGTCATGGAGCAGAAGAGTCATGGAGCAGAACAAAGACACAGTCCGGGCTCCCAGGAGCTTACAATCTAAATTTGCTTTGTGCCATTTCAAGTCGACAGTTCTTACCATCTCTGAAAACCAGGCCCCACGTGTCTCAGACTGAGTACCAAACAACGGAGGTGCTCAGAATTAGAGGCTATTTGTCACAATTGTGGGCCTCTCCCTCTCTGTCCCACTTTTCCCACCAGCAAATTAAGAATGAAAAATACCCACATTTGTAAAATGCTTTGAGAACCTTGGATTCGAGGCATTTTATAATTGCCTAGTCTTCTCACATTCAAATATACTAATTTCTTCCAGCTTTTGTTGGATTTTGACCTTTTTATTTTCAGGAGCACAACATTTTGTTCTTTTACAGCTTTATTTTGCTAGCCACAGTCACATTTGTATTCCCTTTTTGGGCTCTCAAGCTGTATAGAATAATACTAAACTAAGTCAATTGACAAATGGACTACAAGCTCAAAATACTTTACCACTGCCTATTAGAGCAGAATGTAACCATTCCACAAAATGTCTTTGTGCTTTTGTTGTGTGGCTTTCAGGTGGCTCCGATTTCCCCAGCTCCAGCAAGCTGTCTTACTACCCTCTTACCACTAGGTGGAACTAGTGCTCCACCTCAGTCTTTTCAAGGGCCAGATCAATTAGCGAGGTGGCCTGAACTTAAACATTGTAAATTCTTTTCATTTGGGGCTGAAAAATGATGAACCAGAAGCTCCAGTCCTGTTTTACAAAGCAACGATTCAGGTCTAGTGAATACAGTGTCACAGGAAACGTCTATCAATATCAATTTATAATTAAATCATAACAAGCTTGTGACAATGAGGCACAAAATCTGGAACATGCCTTTCGAAGGAGAGACAGATGATTTTGCCAAGCATGCCATAACACCAGCCCTTTATGAATAATTAGACTTTTATAATTAACTTTCTCGGGGGTGGGGAGAAGCTGAAGCAATAACAGGTTTTCTTAGCTTATCTTTACAATAACAAATGCTTTTTTGTTCTGTTTACTCTGACTCTTAGGTTCCATATTCTGGCATTAGCCCATTTAGCATGAGGTAATTCTAGACCTTCTTCTGTTGTTGCCCAAATGAAGTCTCTCCTATAGCAGCTCTTCACAGAAGAGTTTGCCACAAGGCAAGTTCAAGTGGCAAAGTCCCTCTATAGTTTGCAAGTCCAGCACCTTTTGTCCCACAGGCTCACACAGAATTGGCCCAGTAGAACCAGATGAACTACTCACATACAGTCACTGCCCTTCCCTACCTTCTCCTCCTTCATCCCTACTCTGGGTCTGCCTGAGCTACTCAGAGTTCATTCAGTCTAATTCCAGGGACCTCCATGCACCTCAGCCTGCCAGGCCAACATGTAGAGCACAACAGGGGGGTAGTCCTGAAGAGAGAGAGAGAGACAAGAGAAAGGATAACATAGGAGGGTTAAAGCCAGGCTGAACCTAGCTAATCTCGTCTAAACTCTCACCCTCATGATTAGCATGCCTGATACAAGACTATTCAAATAAGATCTAAATAATGTAGCAGACAAATAGATTTAAAATAATCTATGTGAAATAACAGCCAGGGCCCAATCCTCCTTTGCAGCAGGGCTGCTTTGCACCACTACACCAGTACCAGTAACCCAAAAGCCAGGATAGCTGACCAAGGAAAGATCCCCTCTATTAGCTTACAACCAACATAGCAGCTCCTAACACCTGCTCCTCACTCCCTGCAGCCAGGCTAAGGGGCTGACCTGGGCAAAGGGGGCATTGCTGGAACATCCCTGTGCCCAGTGATTCCCAACTGCCACAATGGCCGCTTGGCACTATCAGCCGCCACAGTAATTAGGGCAGCTTTTAGCCAATATATGCTGGGGATCTAGCCTGGCGTACTGACAGCCCAGCATCGGGGAGGAGCAAATGTGGCTTAAAGACCCTGTATTATAGGTCTGAGTAGTCTCTTGTCTCCCCCGCCCCCCCGACTCCACCTCCACACACAGTTATCATAGAAAGCAGAGGTGGAAATGACCCATTGGCTAATCTAGCAACTTCCTCTGTCAGAGCAAATTATTAGCATGTTTTCCTGCATTTTGTCCAACCTAGTTTTAAATGTCATAGGTGGTTTGGTTTCCACCACTTCCCTTGGGAGACTATTACACTGCCAAAACAGATCTCACTGGGGGAAGATTTCCCTGATTTTCAGACTCAGGGTTCGTCTCCACTAGAAAGTTTTGCCACTTTAACTATAGTGGTATAGTTAAAGCAGAAGACAAACACTTTATATGGGTATAACTACATCCACACTGAAAATGCTTACATTGGTATAGTTTATTCTGGTTTGGGAAGTGGAGTACGCTACACGGATATAAATTGCCTTCATACAGATAACTGCGTCTTCATTAGGGCTTGTACCAATAACAATTTCAGTAAAAACATTGCACCCCAGCCAACAGTTATAAAGATAAAATACTGAAGTACAGAACAGACTTAAACGTCTCTAGAGTGAGGTAACTTCACCTCTCTGAAGTTTCCCCTCTGCTTTATGCACTATGGGCCACTATATTTGATGGGCCTGATTTTTCGTAAAGAAGGGAGATGTCCCATTGAAATTAACCTGTAAGTTAGGACTGCATTGTCAGGGCTTTTTAGCCTCACCACTCCCTGCAAATCTATTCTTCCCGCACCGGTCATGCTGAACTATTCCAGTCAGGCCTTTGTAGCTGCTCTGTGTCTGTTTGAGCTAATCTCTTCCACCATTCTGAACGTATCCAGTCTTCCTTCCAGACTCTTGCCACGGCTTCTGTACTGGTATAACTATGTCAGTTAGGGGAGTGGTTTTTAAACTCAGTTATACTGATCCAACCGCAAATGTGAATACAGTCATACCAATACAAAGGTGCCTTATACCAATATAGCTTATTCCCCTGCCACATGTGAATACCAGTTCAGTTAAAGTGGTACAACTTTCGTATGTAGGCCTCTCTCTCTCACCTTCACTACCACTCAGCAATACACATACAATTTAATACAACACCCATAAGCTTGCAGACCCTTTATTCTTCTCAAGAAGCGACACATTTATTCAAGCTTCTTCAGCTCCTCCTTCTACCCAGCTAGGGTGACCAGACAGCAAATGTGAAAAATCGGGACAGAGGGTGGAGGGTAAGAGGAGCCTATATAAGAAAAAGCCCCAAAAATCAGGACTATCCCTATAAAATCAGGACATCTGGTCACGCTATACCCAACTGATTCTCAGGGTAAATAAGACAGCCATGCATTTCACCTCTCTTTTCAAATCTTTGTTTGGGTCAAACAGTCTGACTCAGCACTAATAATTGGGTGACCAAGTTTTGTTCCCCAATCCATTTTGGTTTGGTTTTGCTTTCAGATTAGGGTGTATATTCCATTTCAGTTGGAAACAGAAACATTGACTCCGCAAACACTTGTCGTAGGCGATCAGAATTTTGGAAGCGTGAAGGGGCATAATGTGATGACAGGCAGAAATCAACCAAAGGAGACACTTGGGGTATGTCTGCCCTGCAACTAGAAACAAGCCTCCCAGCTCAGGGAGACAGACTCCTGCTAGCTCGGCTCCAACTAGCACGCTAAAGATGGCCGGCTGGATGTTCTGGCTGAGGCTCGAGCATGAGCTCTCAAGTCTACGGGCTCGTTCCCAGCTGCAGCATAGGCATACCCCATTCTTCCTTCACAAAAGCTGGTTGCTGTGTTTGACTGAACAATCATCAAAAAGAGTTGGGGGTGAATTAGAAAGAAAAGATAACAAATGACTTTATTAAGAGCAAAAGGTTAATTGATTGAGCTTAATTGGAACTGTATGAGCAAGAGGGAGGGTTCCAATTTTTTCTGGTCCCACAGACACTCCATCCCCACAACCTCCGCAGCAAGACATTGTGTTACCAGGCTTAAATGCTCCAAAGAAACTCCTATTGGCTTCTTCACCTGCAGGATGACCCAGAGGGCAGGGCACACTGCCTTTTAGAAATTAACCCTTCACAGGATTGCTAACCCCAAGCATTCAAAAAGCACCAGGAGATAGGCCCCCCCAAAGAGTAAGATCAGCTTCAAAAATCACAAGATTTTTAAAATAATAAACTTCAAATTCTTATTTGCCTCCCGGTTACTGAGCCATTAGAGCACAGTCGGGTTCACATTTTCAGGCAGCTTTTCTCTGCAACTGTGAGGGCTAGAAATATTTGGGTTTTTTTTAACTGAAAGCTGAGATTCTTACCTATTCAATGGATTTCAGGAGGTGAGGTTTTAAGAAAAGAAAAAAGTATAGTAAGATTAACTCTTGCCAGATCACTGACTTTTATTGTGACTCTCAGATGCCTCACTGATCACATGATCAGAGACAACACCATCATACTCCCTTATTTTATGAAGCCACATTTTCCTCAAGCCCTACAAATAGGATAAGCAACAAAATGGCAGTGCAGACAGACTGGCCATGCTTACCTCCCACTAGGACCGACACAACCCTCGTCTCCAAAAAAAAAAAAAAAAAACCCCACACACTTTACCCTAAACTAAAAGCAAAGCTAAAACTAGTTTGTTTAGAAAAAATAGTAACTATGTGCATTGATCTATACTACATTCCTTTTTCTCACAAACAGCAGCAACTACAAATATTCACAGAGAACAGAGTGTTTATCTAGGAAACAGAGGTTGCAGTGATAGGGTCTGGGGTTTTCTTTTAATGAAATTGTGATATGTATAAGCCTCCTGAAGTTACCTAAGCAGTCTGGGTCAAATGTTCAATACATAACCTTCACTTGTCACGTGTTACTTTGCACATGGAAACACTAATACATGCAGCTTTGTACACTATCACTTCTGCATTCAGAGGATAGATTTCACATGCACACAATAACACTGTTTATAAGCGTAAAGAGCAAACAGGTTTATACATGTGCAGTTGGATGCATTAGTGATAAAGAGGAGAAAAAGAAAAAAAGAGAGCTACTTTCCATGTGTTTAAGTGTCCATTGTTTAAACAAATGGAGACAAAGATGAGGCCCTTTGAAAATTTGACCCTCCAGTAAAATCATACTTTAGAATCCTTTTTTCCCAAATTTACCATGACAGATGTTCCCTTCTGCAGCTTGGATGGCCAAAGAAGCAGAAAGAATAGCTATGACCAAGACTTCACCAAGGCAGGGAAGAAGTGGCAATGCTGTGTGCTCCCGTTTTCCCCACGAGTCTTGTATCATGGGCAAGACGTTAAGACTCTGCAGAAAACCTTGCAGTCATGGTCAGCTAGAAAGGGGTTGGAACTGAAGAACAGCTACCAACCCATATCACCTATGTAACCCAGATGGAAAATCCACTCAGAATAACATCAACTTCGGTTCTATGCCTTTCAACAGCCTCCTAGGGGTCAAGAACCAGACAGCACGGCTAACAGACCACTAGCAGAAAAAGTAATGGGCCAAATATGCCAGCAGTGCTGAAATACCAGCTTGCAAATTATACAGAGAAGCAGGCACTCCATGTAGATCCCCCTAGATCTGCAGGATGTGGGGACTGGTGCAGGCAGAGGCCCACACTCCCTGTGCCCTTCATGCATGAGTGCATTGGAGCACTCTTACATGACTCTCTGCCTACACAGGGTGCCACATTACCCATTATGATGCATGAGAGTAGTTAGTGCTCATTAAGTGCTTTGAAGATTAAAAACATTGATACAAGTGCTCAGGATTGCAGTTATTATGAATATGTAATACTATTGCAAAGGAGTAAGGAGGAGTGGCTTTTCCATATATAAAAATAAATAGGAAAAGCAGGTCATTTGCAAGAGAAATGGGTGCTTGGTCCTTTCTGTGAGTGAATAAATGTGCCAAAACATGTGCTAAATCAACCGGTGAACTGGAATGGAGCTTTTACCAAGCTAGGTCCTTCCAGCTTTTGAGCTTATTCCTGCAAGATGCTGGTTGCCCTCCGCTCCTTCTGCCTTCAACAGGAGCTAAAGCGGCTCAGCATCTTACAAGGCTGATCCCTTAAATAATTTATTTTTCCCCTCTGTACATTAACACAAACAGCAAAAGATCAATATTACAGCACCAAATCCTGAAGTTCCTACTCAGATTTCACTCAGCCCCTACCGAAGGTCTTCAGTAAGAGGTTCTTCTTGAATAAGGACAAAGTAAAAACAAAGAGCCATATCTTTGGCACTGTTAAGGCTGCTTTGTGCTGTTCCAGAAGTACAAACCAGCATTAAAATCAGGCTTACCCAGCTAATGCATTGCAGTGCTCTCAGGCTGCCATAGGAGACCTCATCCCAGTTCCCCAGCCTAAGGAGTGTGGCCAAGGTAAAGAACACAGGGCACGAGTGTCCCTGCATTCCCTCGATTCCAGCATAGGCAATTGAAAGTTGGTGGCA